TATATATATATAATATTGAGTTGACCAATAATTTCGTGCGGTTTTTGCTGATAGATGGCTTTAGACGTTCTGAACAGCAACTATATTCAGTCCAAATCTTAGAAGCGCACAATTATTTGACAGATGATGTTTTAACGTGCATTTTTAAAAAAACGTGAAGATTGGTTGTTTTGTGTGTTTGGCATCATTTGAAAGATGGATAACCAAAACGAGCATTTTTGGCATATTATTATTTTTTATTTTAAAAAAGGCAAAAACGCGGCGCAAACCTGTTAAAAGATATGTGCGGTGTATGGCGAGGATACCGTGAAATGCGTGTGCCAGAAATGGTTTACGAGATTTTGTGTTGGAGATTTTTCTTTCCAAGGCGCACCACGCTCCAGCCGGCCAGTTGAGATTGACAGCGATAAAGTGAAGGGTTAATTGATACCATTCCACGCTATATGATGTGGGAGATTGCAGACGTTCTCCAAATATCGAAATTAAACGCAGCGTTCCACGAGAAGTGTCCAGAATTGGTGAAAATCGCAAGGATGTCGTCTTCCATCACGACAACGCCAGGCCGCACACATCTTTGCAAACACGGCAAAAATTATTCGAGCTGGGCTAGGATGTCTTACCGCACCCTCGATATTCATTAGACCTTGCCCCTTCAGAATACCATTGTTTCGCTCTTTTCAAAACTCTTTGAGTGAACGGAAACTTTGTTTCCGAGGAAGCCATCAAACGGCATTTGAAAGAGCTTTTCGCCGAGAAAGACAGGAAGTTCTTTGAGCGAGGAATTATGGAGCTGCTCAAAAGATGGCAAAAGATAGTGGATCAAAACAGCCAATACATTGTTCAATAAAGTTATTGCCTTCTATGAAAAAATCGTCTCTCATTTATACGTAAAAAATCGCACGAATTTATTGGCCAACTCTATATATATATATATATATATATATGTATGTATGTATATATATTCATATGTGTGTGTGTGTGTGTTATTTTTATATACATAGATTGAATAATCTTTCTATTACAATATTCAAATAAAAAGAAAATATATTTATACAATCATTCTTATACTTATAAGCATACTTATATATAAGTCATTCTACTTACCGTGTAAACTTGAAAGGTTTGAAAACATAGTTGAAAAGTAGCTGTTAGCATGTGCACAAATAGCACTGCGCTATAACAGTTGTTGATCATCCTTACATTCCTTGAAAAATTATTTATATTATTCATTCGTTATACATTGTCGACTTATTATTATTATAATTCCATTATATATTAAGAGAGTGAATGCATTTGAAAATGACTAAAATATCAAAATCTTTTTTATTAATTTTTTTAAGATAAAAGAAAGATGATAAGATTATAAAATAATTTTCCTAAATGTTTTGGAATATATAAAATAATTTTTGTAATACATGAATATATCTAAGTGTGCTTGAAAAAAATGTTGAAACAGTAATAAAAATAGCATCAAAACCTTCGAAAGGTTTTCCTGTAAAATCGTGTTTTTCGTGTAAAATTTGTTTTAGGAAAATATACTAATCCAAATGTTAACTATTTTTTAAATTCAGAAATAAATCGACTATGATTTAATCGTTTAGTATAATGAAATTATATATAATTTTAATATAATTTTATCAAAAGTTACGAGTGATTAATAGCCAAAAAAATAATTTTATTTAAATTATAACTAAAATTCAGAAAGTCGATTAAAATGTAGCCAAACATATGAGAAAGAAAGTAACAAAGAAAAAAAGAGTTGGATATATGAATCTACTCTCTTAAACTGAATCAATTAAAATTTCATTGATTAAAGCAGTGACAAGATTTCGCTGAAGATCAGTGATTATTTTATTGATTTTCAGTGAAAATACTCACACTTTGTTTCTCCGTCTTATGAGTTTCACTGATCATGGCAGTACGATTTCACTGAAAAATCAGCCTACTACTCGTTTTTTTCATTATCAGTAAGATTTTACTGTTTGTAATGCTATACTAAAACCCCACTGCTTATCAGTGATAACACGCTGATTCTATTTAAGAGAGCAATATTAAGAAAAAAGAATATAGATGGATTGTTTTATTAAACATTTACGCAACTGTATCTCCCTAATTTTAAAAAAGTAATTTATTTTTAATTTTTAATAAAATAATTTGATTTGACATTTTTTTTCGTTCATATTTAAATCTGATGAAATTTTAAAATACTTTTAACGTTTAGAAGCACTTTATACATAAAGAGATATCTTGCTGTATGAGAATATATATTTGTTTATTAGGTATTGCATATACACATATTTCTTCTAACATGACACTTACGAAAGAAATATGTATTACACTGTATTTTTAAATAGTTTATAAAATTACTCCACAAATACTCTAAGATATACCTGATAAGATGTTTATGTCGTACAGCGACCGTGGCTAAGCCTTCTTTAAATTTCGTGTAGGATATAGATTTATTGGCTAATTCATCGATCAAATTGTTGAGTGCCATTCGTAGATTTACTAGTTGCGCGCATACATGCAGTAAGAGTATCGAGATGAAGCTGTCGACGGTAGAGTTGAGTAGTGCCGTGTATATTCCGCCGGAAAGTTGGATGACAAATGTAATTTCATAATTCGGACTCTTCTGGGCGTTGTAAGGATAAACGAAATGATAGATGAGGCTGCGTTGAGGCTGATGAATATTTTGATAAAGTTTCAGAAGATTAAAACATATGTAAAAGACGAGTGTGATTGTCGCGAGAGCGTAACATCCAAAAGATAAATTTCTGCCACGTCTCGCGAACCTCAGCATCGTATTTCGTTCGCACTTGTTCGTCGAATTTATCCAATCGGTCATGACTGACATCATCAATGTTCGAAGTGCTGTTAAATTAAACACATATATTGATATGTTAAATATATATAAATTTATATATACATATATAAATTGTCAAAAAGCGTGATATATACAAGTCATTTTTATATACAAAATACTAAACCCAAATATTATACAATGATAGTGTTAGATGTACATTAAAAAAAAATCCAACATTCATCTTATTTATGACAATAAAACAAATTCATCCAATAAGTTTATTGTTGCAAAATAATTGCTTACTTCCGCTGTGATACCAAGTAGCAAGTAACTTGCTCAATGCCATCAAACTAAAATTGGCAGAAGCTATATCTTCCACCATGCGAGCCACATTACCCCAAACACGAATCATATTTATAAACTGCGGTATTATCACGTAAAAACTCAAGCTACACGTAACGATTATGAATGCCAAGCTTGGCCGACGAAAGTTGCTTAAAGGAATACGTGGATCGGGCCATACGCCTAACAGCCGCAAACATTGACGGCTCAAGGTAAACGCGTAACTCAAATCTAAGAAATTTAAATTTTATAAATGATATTATCACTTAATTCGGATAAAATCTTCTCCCTTTTCAAAATCTTTCTTTTTTCTGAAATGTCATTTTTAAACATTTTTTTTTTTTATATAGGTATTAATAATTTATTAATGAGTTTATAAGCTGCTTGATATTTTTTTATTCACGTTTCATGAAGTCGTAAGAGTGACAGTAAACTTTTTTTGTATTTTGCTCACTTTTTGTAAAACACTATAAAACTAACAATTAATATTAGGCTTATATTTGGTAATAAATGTTTAACAATAATTTATTTGTGCTTTAGAATACACTATTTTTACACATGTACAGTTTATGTCTAATGCTCTCGTTTAGAGAGTAAATTTTTTTTCGCAAGAGACATATGTTTTTGCAAGATTTTGCTTTGTCATCCTGACGTAAAACCGTTGTTTCATTTTTGCTTTATATTCCTAGAAGTTAAACTTATCTGCAACTTTTTTATATGTGAGGAAAAAAAGAACGATTCGTGCACAACTCAGGCATTTGTTTTATGCACTAGACAACTTTGCAACTTAAAAACATGTTCAATCTACGCGTAGAAAGCAAACATTTTTTGCTAACATACAAAGTTTAATATCAACTCTGACAAACTTTCATGGAACATGAAGTTTTAGAAGTGATCTATAGACGACTACAATAAATCATAACTCTTGCGAGCGTTTGTAATAAATTGTTAATTGTAAGAGCGAAATATTTCCTTTATTTAATAAATAATCTTTAATTATGTTATTATTATTATATATATTATTTGCTCCCACATCTTCGTTAGTTAATAAACGTTTAATAAATAGCATGTTAAGTAACGAATCAGACATTGTCATGTTAGTTAAAAAAGAAATTTTTTTATGTTAACAAAATATATAAGCACACATATAAAATTAAAATAAAATATTTTAAATTTAATCAGCAACAATATAAAATTAAAAAAATATGGAAGACAACATATATCTTCCGATATATATCCTGTAAAATACAACATATATCACAAAGTAAATTAGTTTGTAATTTGTATATCTTTCATAAACACACGTGGATAGTAGTTTAATGGTAATTAATCTTTATTGCAATTCTTTTTTATGGGATTTTAAATATACTAACATTTAAATATAATACACACACATTATTAAAAACATGTGATTTTATACTTTACTTATTATTATTTATTATTACGTAACTATTTAACGTAAAATGATTATGTTTTTAGTAGAAAATATGCGAATTTTTTTGCCATTTTTGGAAACATATTCTACCTTGATTGACATTCATTGATGTTCACAGAGCGAAAATTATAGTTAGACTGAATCGCTCTTCGCGAATGTACTAAATCGCCGTATTTTCGCGCTTGCTCAGTACATGGAGGGTAAACCGCTACCATCTGTAAGTATCTCTTTAAACCCTTTGAAATAATCGATAATGATACGAATAACACATAATTACAGCTGATTCAGATGAGTATGCAGTGTGCACTTTTTGACTATAAGTTAATTACTTGCTCCATGAGTTCTCGCGAATTCATAAACATATATACACATATAGTGTGTGTTAGATACATTCATAACAAGAATGAAAAAAGGAGGTGCTTTTTAAAAATATTGTGGATATAAAAGTGAAAGGATGGAAACATTTTATTAAGAAGGAAACGGAACACAGTTAAAGTTGCTCTATGTATGATGTAGACGATTCTATATAGTGTTTTCTTTTCGCATTCTTAAATGAAGATTGTTGTGTTAGTAAAACAAAAAATATAAACTTTTTTTGAATTATATATTTTTTAAATCAATTTTGTAATGTATGTCATATTGTGTATATAATGTGTATTATATCTTTAACGATAAAAATGATGGATAAGTTAGCATTTGCAAAATGTATTATTATGTGACAACTGATAAAACTTAACAATAGATATGGCATTATGGTTTAATTTTTCGAATTATATCTACGCGTGCTTTAGGATTTAATATCGAAATAAACGTTAAGTGGACACTTTAATGGTATTTTTTCATCTTATTTCATAAATTTATGTGAATATTAACGTGCTACATTCATATAAATTACTGTTTTTCAAAAACACTTTGCATTATTTTTAATATAAATATTCGCTATTGCAATTTATTAATTGTTAATTTTGTACTAAAAATTCATAAATAACAATTTGCAGAAAAATAATATTAGAGTAATAATGTTTGGATTTTTATCAAATATTAAAATTATATTAAATTTACAGTCTTTTTTTATATAGTGTAATAATATATATACTTTGAAAATTAGCAGCGCCAAGTTTTTTAAATTAAATTCACAATACAGTTTTTCTGGCGCGTGTACTTGGCGCCTTTTTTTTACCTTTTTTTAAAAAGATAAATTTTTAGGAATATCATTCTTTTTTGTAGTATGTGTTAACGTCTTTAAATAAATACAAATATAAGATGGTATTATTAACAATAATGAATTTGTAGCTAATCTGTACAAAGCCAAATAAATCGAAAAGGTTTCGTAAATATTCTTTAGGTTTTTTTCCACTATCCAAATAATAATTTTTTTTTTCGATAACCCAATATAAATCATTTAATTTGACTGCATTCGATGTGAAAAAAAGAGTAAATGTATATTATAATGTATACATATACAATATATATACACGATATATATACGATACGAAAAGTGTCTTCATTTTTTACTCTACATGTTCTAGAAATACTATATATATAAAATTATACACATGTATACATAAACATGTATACATAACCATTTTGTTTATCTATATACATAATATTTGACATATCAAACAATATAGTCAGTATACGGATAATATTTGATATATCAAACGATATAGTCGGTATACAGATTACAGATATTACCATCGGTATATTTATTATATCACAGTACTGTTAGAGACCCTCTAATAAGAGACTGGCCATAAGAGTGTGTCGTCCATGTTTCGTCAAAATCCTGCGAGTGAGAGAGAAATATAGGCTATTTCACTCTTCCACTCACACAAATATCTGGCACGTGTTTGTTTAAATATGTGTCTTTCAATTCATGTCGGTGTAAAATGACACATGTTGTGTGTTAGAATTTCATAAAAATGGGTGGATGCTTAGCAGAATTTTGCAACAATTCATCATCGAAAGGTTATACATATAATGAAAATATTTCCCAGAAATCCTCAACGATGACCTCATGGGTCAAAAATGTTGGCCGTCAAAATTGGACACCAACAAAGAATTCGTAGCTTTGTGAGGTCAAGTAACGTGTTTCTAATAAAATTAATCAAAAATGTATTGTTAATTTAATTAAAAGTGATGTCATGAATCTTTTTTTTTATCTTTTATTTCTATTGAAACTTATTAGTGTCTTATTACCTCTTTTATATCACTTCTTTTTGTATATCACCTCTTTTTGTATATTACCTCTTTTTTATAAAATTAAGAGAAAACATTAAATATCAAAAATTGGGCCGGATTTATACCTTGGCAGAAAAGCAGAAAGCAGAAAAGCAGAGGCCAATCAGAACTCGCGCTAAAAAAGCAGAATGTACTGCTTATGTTCAGCGCGAGTTCTGATTGGCTTCTGCTTTTCTGCTTTCTGCTTTTCTGCCAAGGTGTGAATCCGGCCTTAGGGTGCAAACCCATGGCAGCGGAAAAGCGTAACGCGGAACAAGAGCGGACCAATCGTGAGCGTAGCGAAAACTGCAGAACGCTCGCGATTGGTCATGCTCTCGTTTCGCGTTACGCTATTCCGCTGCATGAGTTCGCACCCTTATTAAAAGGTCTCTCAGGCCGGTATTCATAGTCAGTTCTTATATTTAAGACCGTCTTAAGCACAATCTTAAGATGTCCTAAACCAATCACAGAGCCGTATTAGCATCTTAAGACATTACTTAAGAGGGTGCGACCCATGCAGCGGAATAGCGTAACGCGGAACGAGAGCATGACCAATCGCGAGCGTTCTGCAGTTTTCGCTACGCTCACGATTGGTCCGCTCTTGTTCCGCGTTACGCTTTTCCGCTGCCATGGGTTTGCACCCAGACGGTCTTGAAATAAGAACTGACTATGAATACCGGCCTAAGTACTGTCAGCTATGAGCGCCGCTACTGCGATGCAGTAGAAACGAGAACTATACTTTTGTCCGGAGATGACCAAGGAGACTAAGGTGACCAACACGTTTCTTACTCATAAATTTTCCGTTTCGGACTTTGCATCGTAATATCTCCGTTTATGTTATATGTAGAACAAAAATAAAGATGCTTTTCTTATATAAATCAAACTCAAGCTATCGATTAAGCCTAGTAAAAACTCGATCCATTCAGCGGTTATTGCAATCTAATAATCTCAAGTACTCTCAACTAATCGACTCGCGTAAAGATACACGGGGTGCCTTGCTGTCGTTACGCGCGATCTTTGGCTTCGCGTGACTTGGCGCGAGACACTACCGTGTCTCTTGATTTTTATATGAAAATATGTAGAAAACCTGATACCAACTAGGGCAACACTACTTTAAAATTACAAAAAACGAATTTACAATGTACTCTATTTGGCTTTACAAATGGTTCGAATCGTTTTTGATATATCAATTAATACAAAAGTGACAATAATTTTTTTTTTTTGTTAATTAGTTAAGCAAAAATAAGTTAAATTTGCAGAATAATCTTTTTCGCAGAACTTTGTTTTTGAAAGAATTAATCGTGAAAATAAGTAATATGTTTCTACTTTTTTAAAGTCTTAAAGAGTCTTACAATTAGTCTTAAAATGTCTCTGACGAAATTGTGTTATACATTTACCTTGACTAATTGTAAGTCTATTGAAATAGTCATAAAAGAATACAATATCCTCTCTAACTCTTTAAAAAAATAAAATTTATCTTAATAGCTATATTCATATTACCAAATGTAAATTATTTTAAATTGTTTTACTAATAGTAATGTTTTACTTTTATATTATTAATGTGTATTCAAAATGAATTTGAACAATAAATACAATATATACAAAGTTATTGAAAAGCATTCAAAAGTTTAAAATGCGTAAATATTTTACTTACTTTTCAAATTCCGAAGTCAATTTTCTCGAGAGAACAAGATCTCGAAAAAATTGTATTTTCATATTTTCGATTTGTTTTATATCAATGTTGTATAATCATTCTTTATCCGGTTGTACTACGACTAGATTCCATTTATACTGGAACATTTTGTGTTTCTATAATCGACGCATTGACGATAATTCTATTTTTTTATTAGTAACATTCATATACATTATTTTAATTACTTCTGATCCCAATATATTAAATTATATTTTATATTATCTCAATACATTAAATTAAATAATATTTTGTTATGTACGAAACAATTTATTCGGGCAAAATACATAGGTTAGAAATGATACAAAAGGAGAGAATAAATAGAAATGTTTATTAAAGCATACTATTGTGTATTTGATAAGAATTATTCTCTTATTCACAAAAGATAAAGTATGTGCATTATACAGTAATATCAGGTGATTGCATAAGTTCGTGCCCGATTTAAATATAAACTTCAATAGATTATATTTTAGAGATAACACTTTTATTAATCAATTCTGCAAAGACCGGAACAGATAAAAATCTGAAGGCGCAATATCTGGAGAATATGAGAATATGGCCAGAATTTCCCATTGCAACTCCTGCAGTTTTCGCAGCGTCTGTTGAGCGACGTGTGGCCTAGCATTGTCGTGGTGGAAGAGTGGAAGAT